CAGCCATAAATAACTGAATGAGAAACAGCTAAATATCTTAAAAATGTAAACAATGGAAAGATGCATATTGGCTATGTTTGTATTTTATAATACGATAGTAATATGTGAATATTACTTGCATTATTATTGGATACAGTTAAGCAAAACATCAGTTTTATCAAAATCATGTTTATTTTAAATATATGTGTACTTTTTGACTACAGTAAATAGATATATAGTTTGGTTAATAGCATAGTCAGAGCCAGCAGTATATACACTAATTTTATATCCCATGTATGATGCAACCTCCTTAATATTAGTTTCAAAATTAGGCTTTCAAAAGTTGCATGATATATGAGTATATACGGTACTAGGAGCATGGCCCGGCATTGCCTGTGCTTGATTCAAAAATCATATGACTCATACAGCAATCACTATCACTTGACTTAAAATATTTTTGTCCTTCCTTGCCTTTAAAGGAGTGCCCTTTAGCATGCTGATGTTGCTACATGCCTTACTTCTTGCCTATCTCACACTGCGAATTTTTTCTAAGTTCTATACTAAACATTAAATCTGTTACGAAAAAAGAACTAAACAAAATGAACACAAAACGATCAACTTTAAAAAAGGACTCGTAACTGGAAAAACCAAATGAAAAAAGAATGTTAACAACAAATACTTTTTCACACCCTACCCAGTTCTGCAGAATCAGAATCAATATAGAGTTTAAGCAAGCGAATGAGCCAATTGGAGTAAAGTGCCATGCAGATTTAAATTTTTCCCACTTGTGACAAATGCAGCTATCGATTTTTTTTTTGCATGCTAGTTAACATTTGTGTCAGTCAGCTGTTGGCTCTCATGCTGGCCAATAGAATCTTCCAGCCTATTCATGGCAGCCAGGTATAGGCTCTCACTCTGGCCAGTAGAAAATGGCCACAAACTACATGAAAAGTGCTGTAGAAGCATGAAAAAATTGATTATTTCCACTATCGATGGGAGTTGGGAAATGCAAAGTTGGTCTTGGCCTTCCTACTAACTTGGAGCATGTGCATGTAAATTTTTGGTGCAAATCCGTCAAAAATTGCGTCCGTGCATTCGTTACACACACACATCCTGCCTTTTATAGATAGAGATGTACTTTTGTACAAGCAATTAAGAATTGACAACATGATGTCATAAGTGCACCACATATACTGCAACCATAGCAGCGATGGGTGTGTGTGGGGCAAGATAACCTGACAGAGCATGTCCCCCTCCAGGCTGGTTTTGGATTCAGGTTTGTCTTTCTCCTAAACTTGCTATACAACCTCATCTGTCTGGTCGTTTAACCCATAATTTGGGAGAGAAGAGCAGGTTCATCTCTTTCTCAAGCACATTTGTTTGAAAGAGAACACAACAGATTAACTTGGAATTTGAACTCCGATTCTATTTTCTGTGATGATATGTTACACCACCTGCACATCCCATGATTTCATTATTAGTACCAATTAAGTATTTATTTACTAATTTTTTTTTTTTCATGAAACCAAAATTGGAGATCATTTAGTGAGAATTGAATACACTCCTCAGAAATAATAACCTATGCAACCAGTTATTATTTTTTTTTTTACTGATGTCCACTCAGTACAAGGCTCAAGAGCCACTTGGGTTAGAGGGTTACTGAATGTGGTGTTTAATATGAATGTAAGAGTAGAAAATGAATATTATAAGGAGATGGAGGATAGATAAAAATTAATTCTAGACTTGAAGAATTTAAGATTGTACTGTTCAGATAAGTGATCCATGCAAGAGTTCCCCACCCCACAAACCAGCAATTCTTATTAAAAATATTTCTGAGTGGAACATCTTCCTCACAGTTGGAATATGGAAGAAAAGTACATTCTAATCATTACAACAAAGTGAGGTGTTCCCTTAAATATGGACTTAAATATCTGTATCAGAACACTAATTCCATTATGAGGTCATGGAAAAAAAAAAACAAGTCCTTATAGTGTGTTAACTGCAGACATCAGGGAGTGCTCAGCACTCTCTGTAAGTGTAATGCTGAGGCACATTCAGGAAGGCCAAATGCTTTAGTTCTGTGTGTATGTGTACATGTTTTATTTTCTTTATGATGACTCACTGGATCGGTCAATTTATTTACTTATTTTATCACAATGCATGATTTGATTGCCACTTGTTTCCATGTCTCTGAATATTTGTCTATGTAATTTACAATTTGCTACTCTCTTGCTGCTGGGATTTCATTTCTTTTCTTTTTTTTATTTATTCTGTTCTTTATATTTCTGCAGGATTGTACTCGCTGACAATGGCTTGCAAGATTCACACGCAAACCATTATTTGTTTATCAAACTCTATCTCTTTTTTTATATATTGTCTATTTCTTATAGTTTGTTCTCATCTTTAGAGACACAAACAAGAATGTGTCTGCATGTCCAGGTGTACTTTTTCATAAAGACTAAATAAAAAATTGTTATTCCTACCTACTGATATATTTTATGAAATATCAAGTTCTTTCTGTATAGACACATCTTTTGCTTTTTTTTTTTTTTTTTTTTTTTTTTATCATTTAATCCCAAAGATGGCAATAAAGCCACTAAGATGCAAGGGGTTACTGAGTGTGGGATAATATGAGGGAAGAAAATATTATTAAGGAACAAGAATAATAAAAGGACTGGAATTAAGAAGACAGAAGATAACTGTTATACCATACCTATGGACTACAATGGGTATGTCCCAATACTTATAAATACAATGGAAAAGACTGCATGTTGATTCACTGTGGCCTTCCACAGTGTGCTTGTCAAACTCTCTGCCTCCGGGCAGAGAGGAACCCAGATGAGGCTATGCTGAAGAGCAGAGTCTCATCTGGGGTGGTAGACAGCTACCTGACCCCGTTTTTATGGGGTCTACAGGGATATTTTTGGCCGAGCCTATGGGCTCAGAACCCCACAATAAACACGGCCTTGTGCCAGATCCAACCAGGTGGGGCAGTAAGTCAATATCTTCACTGTGGCCTTCCACAGTGTGCTTGTCAAACTCTCTGCCTCTGGGCAGAGAAAAACCCAGACAAGGCTATGTTGAAGGGCAGAGCCTTGTCTGGGTTGGTAGACAGCTGCCCAACTTCATGTATACGAGGTCTGTGGGGAATTTTTGTCTGAGCCTATAGGCTCCATTCACCCCACATTAAATTCAGCCTTGTGCCACATCTGACCATGTGGGGAAGTTAGTGAATATCTTCACTGTGGGATTTCATTTGCGATTCACCTTGATTCACTTCTAGCTCACCACTAGCAGTTGATTACTTACTACACTTCGCTGGCAAAACTTCTATGTTGTTAATGTTATAAATATTATCGTTCCATTTCCAACCTTCATACATGTTTATTTGATATATATATATATATATATATATATATATATATATATATATACACACACACACATACATACACATGTTTTTTTTATTTATTATATATATATATATATATATATATAGGCACAGTGAAGTAATGACTAGTGGCTTGGATTGAGGAATCTGAGAGCCAAGTTCGAATTCCAACTGAATTCATTACATTTACATGTTGTAATACTTTTGGGAAAGGTATGAATGCATCTTTTCTCCACCCCCTCCTCCAGCTATGGATAAATAGCAAGAAAGATTGGGTCCTATAGCTTTGGTTGCAAACGGTCTAGGAGAAGGACAATTCTGAATACAGAACTGGAGGAGGGTCGTTTAGTGACCGTGTATCACATTGTGTGACCAGTTTGTTCTCTGTGTTCAGTTCTTTCAAAAATTGTGGTTGGTCCTGCATAAACCTTCATCACTATATTCAAATCACACATGTACAGGTAGAGTCTGGCTGTATGGTTGTAAGTACTAAGTTTCATACATCAAAAAATGATAGGAGAGTCATTGTTGTCGTTATCACAGCGTTTCATGCCCTCAGGAAGGTACAACAGCTGAAACGTCGTGATAATAACAACAAAGATGAGGACATTAGTCTGAATGTAATTAATGATAATTCTTTATCTCAGAAATTCAAACAGAATGACAACAAAGATGAGGATATTGGTCCAACTGTAGATAATGATAATGCCTCATCCCAAAAATTCAAACAGAAGGTGACCAGGTGATAATAACGACAAAAATGAGAACATTAGTCCAAATATAAATAATAACTCCTCATCCCAGAAATTCAGAGAGAATAACAACAAAGATGAGGATATTAGTCTGAATGTAAATAATGATAATTCCTCATTCCAGAAATTTAGAGAGAATAAAAATAAAGATGAGGATATTAGTCTGAATGTAAATAATGATAACTCGTCATCCCAGAAATTCAAAGAGAATAAAAATAAAGATGAGGATATTAGTCTGAATGTAAATAATGAGAGAATAACAACAAAGATGAGGATATTAGTCTGAATGTAAATAATTATAACTCGTCATCTCAGAAATTAAGAGAGCATAACAACAAAGACGAGTATATTAGTCTAAATGTAAATAATAACTCCTCATCCCAGAAATTCAGAGAGAATAAAAATAAAGATGAGGATATTAGTCAGAATGTAAACAGTGTAAATAAAGATAACGCCTTATCCCAGAAATTCAGAGAGAATTAACAACAAAGATGAGGATATTAACTGTTATGGGACAGACGTAGTGTTTAATTTTATATTGAAAATGGTATTAAAGGTTCACACATTAAATCCCAGTCTGAAGCTTGCAATAATCCTAGTCAGCAGGTCACTTAAGCTATTTCTTTGTCAAATTTAGATTTTCTCTTGAAATGTTAAAAGCAGTTCCAAGGGACCAAAATTACCCAACAGAATATTTTTCTTGAAAGCTCATATTCAACAATGGCCGTCCCTGTTAAAATATATATTTTTTAATCTATCACTGATCATGTGATATCCTATTAAAAATTACCAAATCTTATAAATGGGGAATTTTCAATTTTCAATGCAGATGATTTTTGTATAGGTTTCTAGGAAACAGTAGTTTTGGTGCAATTTGATCAATAAAGGGAGAAAAGGGATGGACAGAAGAGAACAAAAAAGGGAGGGAAGGATAGTATAGAATGGAGAAGGATGGGTAAGATAGGGGGAGAAAAAGAAGGACAGAAAGGAAAGTGAGAGGAGAAGGATGGAAAGGATAGGGGAGGAACAAGAAGAACAGAAAAAAAGGAGGAGAAAGAGAAGGACAGAAAAGAAAGGGAGAGAAAAGAAGAACAGAAAGAAAAAAGGAGAAAGAGAATAGCAAAAAGGATAGGAGGAAAAAGAGAAGGACCAAAATGATAGGGGAAGAAAGAGAAGGACAGAAAGAAAAGTGAGAGGAGAAGGATGGAAAGGATAGGGGAGGAAATAGAAGGATGGAAAGGATAGGGAAGGAAAGAAAAGGATGGGGAAGGAGGAGGAACAGAAAAAAGGTGAAAGAGAAGGACAGAATGAAAAGGATGGGGAAGGAAAGAAAAGGATGGAAAGGATAGGGAAGGAACAAGAAGAACAGAAAAAAAGAAGGAGAAAGAGAAGGACAGAAAGGATAGGGAAGGAAAGAAAAGAACAAAAAGAAAAAAGGGAGAAAGAGAATGGTAAAAAGGATAGGAGGAAAAAGAGAAAGAGAAGGACAGAAAGGAAGAGAAAGAGAAGGACAAAAAGGATAGGGGAAGAAGGAGAAGGACAGAAAGAAAGAGAAGGACAAAAAGGATGAAGGGAGAAAGAGGACAGAAAGGATAGGGAAAGGAAAGAGAGAGACAGAATGGATAGAGGAGGGACTGAAGGGATATTGAAGGAAAGAGAAGGATGGAAATGATAAATGAAGAAAGAGGAGGATAGACAGAATAGGGGAGAAGAGAGAGAGAAAAAGGAGGGACAGAAGGAATATGGGAGGAAAGTGAGAGCCAAAATGTATAGGAAAAAAAATAGCAAGATGAAAAGGATAGGCAAGGAAAGAGAAGGATAGAAAAGATAGGGGAAGAAAGAAGTGAAAGGTTAGGAGAAGAAAAAGAGAGAAAAAAGAATAAACAAAAGTATAGAGAATGGAAAAGAAGGATGAAAATGAAAGAAAAAAAAAAGAAAAGAGAAATGAAAAGTAGACATGAAAAAAAGAAGAAGAAAGAAAAAGTTGGAATAGATGTGAAAGAAATGGAGACAAAAGAAGAAAATATCCCACGGAAAGAAAATAAGTAAAAAAGAAAAAAAACTCTAAATCAAATGGAAAATTTGAAAAATAGAATTAAAATATATTTCATTATACTGATTAGCCATCTTGTCACTTTTCATTTTCCTTGTATTTTCTGCCTTTATTCAATTTTACCAGAGCAAAACTATAAACTCAATCATTATTTATTCAAGTGATTTCTACTTTCTCTGACTTAGCACAATATCCTCTTCATCTTCTCTCACTGAAGCTGATCAAACATAATTTTGGCTGCTAATAGAAATAACATTCTCCCCCTTTACATATAAAGCATGTTTTTCATCCAGCTGTACTTTTAAAATAAATAAATATTTCTGCTGTAGTTGTGGTAGTTCGTCTGTTTCACAAGCTGGATGGTCAGCCTATTTTCTTGTAGAACAAGCTACAGTTCCTTGTCTGTTGATGAAATCAATGAAGGTCTTCTGTACTTTACCTTCAACTTAAAGAATCTCTCTATACTGACAAGTCTTCCTTATTTCTTTCCTTCCTTCCAATCACTATGGTTTTTCCTACTTGGCATTAGTTTTTTGTAAAATTCCTTCAACCACTTTTTGTGTTTTCAGCGTCTTTTCTTCTTCTTTTTTTTTTTTTTTTTATGGAGTGACAAGTTCTTTCTTTCAATTTGGTCTGATCTTACCACTTTTATATATATATATATATATATATATATATATATATATATATATATATATATATATATATATTCTTTTTATTCTTTCATTTTTTCATTTATTTTTTATTTAATCTTTTGTCACTTCTTCTCATGCTTTACTTATTTTCACCTTGAATCTTTCTATTACTCATAATCTGTTTTCTTCCCTAACATGTTTTTTTCCTTATTCCTTTACATCTTTGTTTTTGTTTTTTTTTCATTCATAAATATTTTTCTTTTTTTTCATTCATAAATATTTTTCTTTTTTTAATTCATAAATATTTTTCTTTTTTCAAAGTTTGTTTCTTTAAACTATTCTATAAATGTTTCTTTCCTATTTTTATTTCTTTCTCTCTCACTTTCAAATTTACATATTTTCTCATTTTATTTTTTCACCGGTCCAGTTTGAACTACCTAACTAGCAAATCACCTATATACTGCTACCTTTAATACTACCTTAGTAGTAAATCACCTATTTAATTCTGCCTTTATTACTACCTAACTAGCAAATCACCTATGTATTGCTACCTTTAATACTAATTTAGTACTAAATCACCTATTTAATTCTCTCTTTATTACTACCTAACTCGTAGTAGTAAGTCACCAATGTATTACTATTTGATTATTGATAATTTACAGTGAAATAAAATCAGGCATTATTTCAATTTTCGTTCTTTTCCGCAACAATTCAGATATTAGTGCTTTAGGAGAGCAACTGATTTCCACTTGATTTTTTTTTACTTATTTTTGTTTCCTTACATCCAAACCCCTGCCAAAATGTCAGGAAAAAAAAAATTCAAATTTTATCTTTTTCCTGTGTAGACTCAGAAAATGCCTCACAGTGAAGCATTTTGGCTTTTAACTGTTCCCAAATAGTACAGCTATATTGACGAGATGAGTTGAATGGGATTAGGTTAGGCACCAGTTTCATGAAAGATTACTTATATTGTCTGTTCTTTCTTCATGTAACTGCCATTGTTGTTACTGTCAGGGTTTTCAAATTTTCTTTGTTGATACTTTTTCTTTCTCTTCCATTTCCCTGATCTGAAATCTCTAGAAATTATGTTTATCTCTCTTTCATTCATTGGTTTTTCTTATTTTTTTCTTATTGCTTTTCATTCTTTTTCAATTTATTGTTTTTTAAAGTATTTTCTTTTTACAACTTCATAATTTCATTTTTGGTTTCCTTTTTTAATTAGGTTTTCTTTCTCATTTGCTTCCTTCATTTTTCTTTTCTTTCTTTTTATATAATTTTTCTTTCTTTTCTTTTTTCCAACCTTTTCTTTCTCTCTTCCCGCTTTTTCTCTGCCTTTTTTCTTATATTATCTCTCTTTTTCTCTCTCTTATGATTTTTGTTTTTCTTTCTTTATCTCCACTCTCTCGTGTGATTGTTGTTTCTCTTTTTCTATTTATCTCTCTTACCTTATGATTCTCTTGTTTTTCCTTTTTTTTTCTACATTCTCACTCTCTCTCTTGCTGATTCTTGTTTTTCTTTCTCTCTTTCTATTGTAAAGTGTAACTTTTGCTTTTGCTTTTCTAACTCTCTCTCTCTTTGTAATTCATTAGTCTTTTCTACATTTTTACCTTTTCTACACATTATCTCTTTTTATTTCCTCTTTCATCTCTTTATTCTCTCCTCTTTTTATCTCTTTATTCCCTCTTCCTCTTTCTCTTTATTCTCTCATCCATGTTCTCTTAATTCTCTAATCTTCTTTCTCTTTATTATCTCCTCTTTCTCTTTATTTTCTCGTCTTCTTTCTTTCTCTTTATTTTCTCGTCTTCTTTCTTTCTCTTTATTCTTGAATCTTCTTTCTTTCTCTTCCTCTTTCTTTTTATTCTCTTCTTTCTTTCTCTTTATTCGCTCCTCTTCTTTCTTTCTCTTTATTCTCTCCTCTTCTTTATTTTTCTTTATTCTCTCCTCTTCTTTCTTTTTCTTTATTCTCACTTCTTTCTTTCTTTTTCTTTATTCTCTCTTCTTTCTTTCTTTCTCTTTATTCTCTCTTCTTCTTTCTTTCTCTTTATTCTCTCCCCTTCTTTCTTTCTTTCTTTCTTTCTTTCTTTCTCATTCGCTCCTCTTCTTTCTTTCTTTCTCTTTATTTTCTCCCTTTCTTTCTTTCTCTTTATTCTCTCCTCTTCTTTCTTTCTCTTTATTCTCTCCTTTTCTTTCTATTCTCGTCATTCTATTCTCATCATTTTCATCAGATCACCTTCCTGGTGACATGGAAACCTGCTGCTTACCTATTTCCACCCAATTTTATTCTGACCTCTGAACTTCCCCTTCCATGTTTCAGTGACTGCTAGAGACTAATCAGGATTTTATTTTTGTGACTAAAATTTGGTACAAATCTGAGAAAAAAAATGTTTCCTATTTTTAATTCTCTTTCTAAAAATCTTTTAATACAATCTTCTCATTCTAGAATAATTTGAATTACATTCTATCTCATAAATGATTTTGCATTTATATGTTTGTCCTCCAACACACACACAATATATATTCCTAATTCATCTTCTTCATTCATGAGTCATGTCCCTTCAGGACAAAGGCAATCTTTCTATCCCTCATATCTTTTAGTAACATTGGTCCTTTTGCAATCTCTTCTACACCTTTATTCTGTCTCCCTTTGTCCCTTTTATCTTCAATATGTCCTGTGAGTATCAAATTCTCCAAGCATTATTATGTCATCTTTAAATGAATCATAAGGTGTTGATATGCCATAAAGCAAATCATTCATATTATATGTTCTAGAAATTTCAGCTATCTTTTCCTGATTCTCTTCATAAATGTACCTTTTCTTCACATTTTCCTTAAGATTTCTTTGTTGTTTTAATCCTTCATTTATGGTATTTTTGGTATCCTTCTATTGCCTCCAGTCTTCTCATCTATAAGGAAATTGTCCAGTATTTACTGCCATATAGGATGATCGATATTACATTCCAAATTATTTGTCAAAGACACTTTACTGAGGATATAATTTTCTATGATTTTAAAAAAGATAATTACGTATTTTTCATGTTGTGTGCAAAACAGTGATGATTTTTTTTTTTTTTTTTATAACTTTGCAAAAGGTTGTATTCTTGTTTCTGAAACAAATCCACAGGCACAGATAATGTTATTCTTTTCTAACATATGTACCCATGATTTACACATTGCATTTCAGACATTTTTTTACTTGTTAAATATAAATAAAAAAAATACTTGCAACAGGGACAGATTCAAAATTTAATTTTTTTCCAAGGGAGATAATACTTTTTTTTTGTCTCCAGCACAATTGTTTCTAGTATTTTTTTCCAAGAGAAATAATAATTTTTTTTTTCTTTAGCCCAATCTCCTTTAGAATCTTTCATGATATAGTGTCAACATTTATTATGCCACTCAATGTTTTCATAATAAAATTGGCATTAGCGAACCAATGCTAGTAAAATTTTCATGATTTGCATTTATCTTGATGAGCAAATATATTATGTGAGTTTCAGCTTATCAGAACTTTTGTTGGCACTGACAGTATTTATTATACAAAGTGCAGCATAATTGTTTATTAATAAATCTAAATTATATCAGTCAGAGGAACATAGATTTAATTAAAACAATATTCCATATACTTTCATAAAATTATTACATTATTTGACATATTAATATTGACTCTTTGACATTCAATAACCTTCATTTTCTTGATTTTTCTCTTTTATTGCTTCTATTATTTATTACTTCCCAGAAATCTTTTTGGCTTCAATATTTTTTTCCATTTTCCAGTATGTCTCTTTTAATGATGGACCACAAGTTTCCCATTGAAGAGACTTTTCTTCTCAGTACTCCATTTTTGGCCTAATCTGGCCCTCATAAAGAGAGACCATAGCAGTAAGATTCAGATACTCACTGGAGGGGCACAAAGAACTAACTCCTTTTTCAACATCATTAGTGATGAGTTCCACTTGAGGTCTGGGGTGAGCTTGAGTCCTCAATAGGTGTTCAAGGCAATTAGCCTCTTTGAAAGAAGGATCATCACTCATAATAGGTGAAAGTTCAGAGACTGCTCAGTCATAATGAAATGTTACTAGTCCTACCTCTATTGAGCCACCAGGGTGTGGTCAAAGGATAGATCGGCCACCAAGTTCTAGTCATCCAGATTTTTGGAGATGCTTTTATTAACTTATTTATCATCTGCATAGATACTCAATAAAGATCTGAGTGTGTTCTTAGGCAGATCATTAATATATACCAGAAAGAGTGTCAGACTGAGAAGAGAATCCTGGGGACCCCCAGCATTGATCTGATGGACTTCTGATGACTGGCCATTAACAACAACCTTCATGGGCCAACCTGTTAGAAAGGACTTAATAATTAAGAAAACTCTTCCAGAGATTCCATAGCTGGAGAGTTTGTGTAGCAACTCCCGATGATATACTGAATGCCTTATGATATTTTTTATTTTTTTTAAGCATTGTGCCCCAAGCAAGGCGTGAAGCCACTAGGATGCAGGGGGTTGCGGAAGATTTGGAGTGAGAGCAGATAAGAGTGATAGGAGAAAGGAGGAGGAGAAGGATAGTGGGTAGATCAAGGTAATTGGAGATGTCGATTGACATTACATTTGAATAGTTGGAGATTATAGCTTTCAGGGAAACAGTAATTGGGGAGGGTGTTCCACTGGCGAGAAGTGCGAGGTATGAAGCTATTGGAGTAGAAGAGACGGCTACATTTGAAGGTTTCTACGGTGTAAGGGTGGGAGCGAGATGCCAGCCTCGTAGGGCGCTTGAATTCATGGAGTCTGGGAACCAGAGAGAGCAGCTCATCAGAGCAGTTACCATGGACTGAAGGCCTTATCAAAGGCCTTCAGTATATCATTTGCTAGGTCTGCTGCTAGGGAGATTGATTCATGGTAGACAATATTTCTCAACAGAATCTATCTTACATATTTATAAGTCTACCATTCGTCCTTGCTTTGAATATTGCTGCTATGTCTGCACTGGTGCTCTTGCTATATATTTAGAGATTCTTGATAAAATCCAATGAAAAATCTGCAATGTCCTAACCTGGCATCTTGGCTTCAAGCACTTTTCCACCATTGTAACATAGCTTCCTTGTGCCTTTTCTATAAATACTTTCATGATAATTGTTCTAATGATCTTTCTTCTATGGTACCTAGACTTTATGAATTTGACCACAATACTAGATTGACAACTAAGTCATCTATTTACAGTTGAATTTGCTAGCAATAACTGTAAGTTCTATGTTAACAGTTTCTTCTCCCACAATTTTTGTTTGTGGAATTCTCTTCTGGCGTCTTGCTTTCCAACCAACTTTGATCTTCAAAAATTTAAATCTAATCACAATCATTATCTAGTGTGTTCTTGATTACTCTTCTTTTATTGTTCTAGCTCCTTAATAATGTTTTTCTTTTTTTTTTTATTCTTTTACACTTGGTAACCTCTTGTGGTGTCTCAGTAGCTTTACTGCCTAGCTTGACATGAAATGATTAAAAAACAAACATTATCTTCTGTCTTCTTAATTATTGTCCTTTTATTATTCTCTCCCCTTAATAATATTTCGGTTTTTGTCCCCCCCCCTATATTCTCTAACACTCAGTAATCCTTTGCATCTTAGTGGCTTTATTTCCTTACTTGGGGCCAAATGATTAAAAAAAATCTAAGACAGTTATGCTTATGAAAACATTTTCTTTATATCAAATATTTTTTCTTGACATAACAGGTATTCTTGGCATAATGCATATTCTATCTTTAACATCCCTAAACAAATATTTAATGTTTTGGTTTGTTTGGTAACATTGATTTCATATCACAATCAAGGCTGCAAGTAATAAATTAGGCAACATTCAAAAATTAACAAATTTTGAATTGACTTTCTTAATAGACAAAGTTAAACCTGCTTTTTTGAAAAATGACCTAAAAATCACAAGAGACAAAATTGAAAATTTAGTTGCACTCAGATTTCAATATGGCAAAAGTTTCAGTTGGTCTAATGGCTAACAGCCCAGAATGATAAACTGGGAAAGATATGAATCTAACTCTTCTTCCCCAGCTATGGATTAAATAGTAGGACTTGTTTCTTTAAACATCATTGTTATCTCCAAAAAATTCTTAATGCAATATTCACTTGCAGAAAAAAAAGAATTATTCTTATAATCCAAAATGTGTTTCAGCTTAAAATAGTTTGCAAAAGTTGATAAACCTTAAAAAACAAATCAATCAACGCTGCCTATGAATATATTTTATATAGGGTAGAGAAATACATAGACCCTATGGAATATATGGTAGTATAAACTTCATCTGTCAGTTTCCATTACTCATTTATTGTTTATGAGTCAACCAAAATCTCTACATTGATCTTTACATCCAGGATAAAGTTTTGACTTATCTCTACCATGCTTGCAACCAGTTGGGATTTCTGCCAAGAAACTTACTCGCCCTTGCCGACTTAAATATTGCAGCTGTTTTGCCTTGAGCCAACAATTTTGCAGCAAATATAATCAGATTGTTTTACATAATTTATCTGGAAATTCTGCCAGGCATTCCTTTGCAGTTCAACTTTCACTGTCAGTCACTGTAAGGATCTAATGAGAGCCAGAAAAGGTTTTCAATTGTGAATTTTTTAAAGGATTTTCCTGATTGCATCCTAATGCAGAGAAAAAAAAATCTTTACAAGTAAAGTTGGTTATTATAAATGCAATAGTTGCACAATACACAAATTTGTTCAATTGCATCTCATTTTTATTTGAGTAACTGAAAGAAGAATAGTTGCATGCTGCGATCGCTCTATGTTTAGGGTGTCGGAAATAGCTGACAACATTTGGCAGTATCTGGTGGCTGCCTGAAATGAAATAAGGTTTTGCTTGATTTTGCAGCCAATAAAAAAGGACAATCGCTGAGTTGGCTTTTGGGCCCTCAGAGTGGAAAACCTATCCACACTATGATTTTAGTTAAAGGTTTGTGTCCAGCAACAGTGGGTGAGTTGGTGACTCACAATATGTTATAGAGTCTGCAGTAATTTTTCATTTTCAACACGGTAACCCCATGGGTTCTCCAAATATTCAGAATGACTAGATATGTTCCAGATAGATTTCATAATTTTTCTTCTGTCTACAGAACCTTATTGCGATAAAGCATTTTCGAGAATTCCCAGTTTGATACTAATTTTTAATGTTACTTCTACAAACAATAATAAAAATATATTTTTGGTTTGGGATCCCAGCAGACAGGAATTAGAACATGTAACTGATAATGTTGAATTGTCTATAAACTCCATACTCTCATCCAAAGAAACACAAAATAGTTCTCCTCTCTGAGATATACTATCAGCACACCCACAGGTAGCATAGTGTCTCCTTTCAACTCTAGCACAAATGATAATTTTTGCTGAAATCATGATCACTGTTGACAAAGATGAACATGTTGATGATAGTCATTAAATAAAATTTCATTTAGCTATGTCTCAGTGATTGCACCAAACTAAAACAGAAAATCTGCAATATTATTGGTTGCAACATGACATCTCAGCTTCAGTCATTTTCCCACCAGCATAATATAGCCTTTTTTACAAATGTCTTTCATGAAAATTGACTTAATGAGTTTTCCTCTTTGGTACTTTGACTTCATGAATTTAAGTGCAGTAACAGATTGGCTGTTAGGTCTCATCATTTTACAATTGAAATTGCTAAATGTAATCATCTACAAAAATTTTGCAAATGTCATGACAACAACAACAATATAAAAACATTAGGACAATAGCATATAATTAGTGTAAATAATAACTCCTCATCCCAGAAATCAGACAGAAATCTGTTGTCTTTCATACTCATTAAATCATTGCATCTTAGTGGCTTTATTGCCCTGTTGGGATGAAATGATTAAAAAAAAAGAAAAATCCAATTTATAACAATTTTCTTGGACAACTCTGCAAAAACCATAATTAATTCAAGAAATATACTTATTCATAAGTAATTCAAAGCTTCTACAGCCATATTCTCTTTTGGTTTCTTACTTCCATGTTACCTATGATCTTCAAAAATTTAGTACAATGTCATTTACCATCATCTGTCTTCCCGAATCCTGTTCTTTTATTGTCTTTTTGTCAATAAAGTTTTCTCATTATGTTTTGCTCTCAGTGCCCCCCTCTCTCTCTCTCATGGTCTTAGTGGCCTTATCACTTTGCTTTGGGTGAAATGATTAAAAAAAAATATGTAAAAATCTAATTAGGATTTGAATTTTGTTTTCACATATAACAGAGGTTCCAAAAAAAAGTGTACTTTCCCAGATGCACAGATAGATATTAAAAAGTTTTGATACAATCAATTTACTTTTATAGGGGGGAGTAAGTGAATTCACTCTAAAGTAGGCGATTGAATTACAATGTATTCATATAATGTAAAACTGGACCCTTACTTTATGTCCGTCTTTGAGATATCTGATGTTCAGTTTCTGATGTAAATATCTACTAAACTGAACCCTTATATTGTAAATCGGTCAAACATTTAAAAGCTAACTCTCTTGCTTTCACAATAAAAACTACTTTTTGTAAAAAAAAACAAACATTTCTGGAAGGAACAAAAGTTAAAGTCAGTCAAAGATTATACAATCTTCTAATGTTCTATGTACATTGCAAGAAATAAGACAATGACTTATGGTTAGGAAATGTTATGTTCATGCCTTTTCTTTAATTACCAATAGATGAAACAATGGTTGGCCATGAAAATGTGAAACTTTGCCAGTTTCATTCTCTTTTTTCCTTTCAGTTAAATGTATTTACATTTTGTTTTATGATTTCTTGGGTAAACACACCGTACATTCCTTTGATTAAACAACCCACTGAGATAATTTTGTTGGCTGATTTTATTACATGCGATCCACCATCATATTTCATTAAGCATGCAATATATTTAGAAGAAGACGATGAAGAAACAGAATGAAAAGACATGTTGTGCTGGTTATTTCAATCCTTTTCTTTTTGTAGCGTTATAAAAAAATCTCTTTGAGAAAGAAACATGCTTATTTAAATGTCATGTTTCATTTAATTAGTTCACTGTTGGGGAATTTTAATTCTGGGTTTCTTGTGACTCTGAATGTCAAATAAAGTGGGAAAAGAATGACCATTTTTTCAAAAAATACTATAAACAGTATCTGTCTATATTTCTGACATGAGGTATTATGTACATTATTTACATTATTCGGATTATTGTCCTCATCTTTGTTGTTATTTGTTTCGACTGTTGTACACTCCGACCTTCTTCAGGACACATGGCACAGTGGATAAAGGCGTTAGTTAGATCCAGTGACAGGACCCAAAGAGTGTGAGTTCAACACCTGGTTAAGGCAGTGGAGAACTTTCAGAGGGAAATTAACAGGAGATAATTGATAACCGACATCCATTAAACATGGCACGTGGAACCAGAACAGTCTACCCCAGTGAGCAAAATAAAGGGTTCAGTTCGACATTCCAACCACCTGAAGAAGGCCAGAGTGTACAATGGCTGAAATGTAATAAATATGGTGACAAAGATGAGGACAATAGTCCGAATAATGTAAATAATGTAAACTTTAAACATTTTAATACAAGACAGTTTCAGAAACCTCCTAAACTAGGATCTCATGGGTGAATCTGTAACTTAGTCCACACACAGGAGAGATTATTCAGTGATGATCCTCATGGATAAGTTCACAAATCTTTTATCCATAATTTCTGGTATTTTGCTGATGGTTCGATGTCCTGAATGGTCATAATCTTGAACTGACATTCAAGAAGACTTGAAATGCACGTGACTCAAAAACCTATATTTGACTGAAAAGAATGTTTATAAAACATATATATGGTTGTTAATTACATGTAGATTATTGTCCTTATCAAAATCTTGAATTCACATACAACCAGTTTTTGTTTTTGTAATCACAACATTTTGGCCATTTTACTCTCTGACCTTCATCATGTGTATTTTGTTCAAGATAACCTACAGTGAATTTCAAACTGAACTCAACTTACGACCACATCACATTGAAACACTGGTTCCTGTAGGATCACTGAAGTTAAACGACATCAAGCCTGGATATTGGCACTTTTAAGATCCAAAGCCACCTGTCAGCAAATCCAAAGGTGTTTTCCATGTGCAGTTCTTCAACAGTCTGAAAATGCACACATCTTTCGAATCAATCAAGAAACTTTGTGGATACCCTGCAGGTCACATGTTCTGTTTTAAAACAACCACTGAGCAATCTTAGCCATTGATAGTAAAAGCAAGCCAAAAGATTTGGCACAGGATAGAGGATTTAGATAACGGACCAGAGTTAATCATTAACTCATACAAAACAAAGTGTAAATTGCAATTTCCTCATGGGTAACTTTGAAGAAGTTTCAACTCACAGTTGGTCATCCTCAGTATCATTTTCTTAATGAGTCACTCCTATCCACAGGTACACTACTGAGCAATTCCATTGTTATTCATCAATAACTTACCACCATCAATGAGTACATTTTATGTCAGGTCACTATATGAGTGTTATTGGTACCATGTAACCCAGTACTACCTATAGCATAGATACTTACAGCCATATCACATTGAAACACAGGTTTTCATATGACCACCAAAGTTAAGCAACATCAAGCCTTGTCTGTACGTAGATGGGTGACCATTTTGGAATACCAGGTGCTGTAAGCTTGGATGTGCAGATGGTATAATGGATAATTGTTAATTGGAGAGCTGATTTCCAATTCCTGTTGTGTTCATTATATTCACTTACATGCAAATATCCTTGGTAAAAGTATCAATCCATAACTTCTCCTCTCAGCTATGGGTTAATTATAATTAGTAAGACTTGTATTGCTAAACCATCGTTATCTCCAAAAAATAAAATAAATATTTGCTGACAAAATATTCAGATACGGGCATTAAATAACCCAGAAAGGTTGATATACTGCTAAACAAAGACAACCAAAGAATTGAACCCTTTATTTAATTCATATGAGATAGATTATTCTTGTTTTACTCACCACATCTAGGGATATCATGCCTAGTTCTTAAGTTCTTCTTAGTTATAGTCCTATTACACACTGCCCCGTCCAGGAATTGAACTCACAATTAGTATATCACCAACTTCATGAACTGACACTTTAATCCACAAAGTTATTGTTCCGTGGAAGATGCTGGAAGAATGGTTGATTCCTTGTTCCAGAAAATGCCAATCTCCTGTCACCATGCTCTATCTTTACAAGAGCCAGGTTAGATCAAGAATGGAGTATTGCTGCCATATCTGGGCTGGAGCTGCCCAATCCTCACTTTCCAGCCTTGATAGAGTCCTTCTGCCATGTTTCATCTTTACAAGAGTCAGATTAGACCAAAAATGGAGTATTGGTGCCATATCTGGGCTGGAGCTGCCCAATCCTCACTTTCCAGCCTTGATAGAGTCCTTCTGCCATGCTTCATCTTTACAAGAGCCAGATAAGACCAAAATGGAGTATTGGTGCCATATCTGGGCTGGAGCTGCCCAATCCTCACTTTCCAGCCTTGATAGAGTCCTTCTGCCATTTCATTTTTTTACAAGAGCCAGATTGACCAAAATGGAGTATTGGTGCCATATCTGGGCTGGAGCTGCCCAATCCTCACTTTCCAGCCTTGATAGAGTCCTTCTTTTTTCAGCTTCATCTTTTGGATAAGATTAGACCAAAATGGAGTATTGGTGCCATATCTGGGCTGGAGCTGCCCAATCCTCACTTTCCAGCCTTGATAGAGTCCTTCTGCCATGTTTCATCTTTACAAGAGTCAGATTAGACCAAAATGGAGTATTGGTGCCATATCTGGGCTGGAGCTGCCCAATCCTCACTTTCCAGCCTTGATAGAGTCAAAATCTTTTTTCATTTTTCATCTTTACAAGAGCCAGATTAGACCAAAAATGGAGTATTGGTGCCATATCTGGGCTGGAGCTGCCCAATCCTCACTTTCCAGCCTTGATAGAGTTCAAAAATCTGCCATGTTTCATCTTTTACAAGAGTCAGATTAGACCAAAAAATGGAGTATTGGTGCCATATCTGGGCTGGAGCTGCCCAATCCTCACTTTCCAGCCTTGATAGAGTCCTTCTGCCATGTTTCATCTTTACAAGAGTCAGATTAGACCAAAAAAATGAGTATTGCTGCCATATCTGGGCTGGAGCTGCCCAATCCTCACTTTCCAGCCTTGATAGAAATCAAATCTTTTTTCATGCTTCATCTTTACAAGAGCCAGATAAGACCAAAAATGGAGTATTGCTGCCATATCTGGGCTGGAGCTGCCCAATCCTCAGTCCATTTTCCAGCCTTGATAGAGTCCTTCTGCCATGTTTCATCTTTTACAAGAGTCAGATTAGTCCAAAAATGGAGTATTTGCTGCCATATCTGGGCTGGAGCTGCCCAATCCTCACTTTCCAGCCTTGATAGAGTCCTTCATTTTTTGGTGCTTTGTCTTTACAAGAGCCAGATTGAATCCAAAATGGAGTATTGGTGCCATATCTGGGCTGGAGCTGCCAATCCTCACTTTCCAGCATTGATAGAGTCCTTCTTTCATGTTTCATCTTTTATTAGAGTCAGATTAGACCAAAAAAATGGAGTATTGCTGCCATATCTGGGCTGGAGCTGCCCAATCCTCACTTTCCAGCCTTGATAGAGTCCTTCTGCCATGTTTCATCTTTACAAGAGTCAGATTAGACCAAAATGGAGTATTTGTGCCATATCTGGGCTGGAGCTGCCCAATCCTCACTTTCCAGCCTTGATAGAGTCCTTCTGCCATGCTTCATCTTTACAAGAGCCAGATAAATCCAAAATGGAGTATTGGTGCCATATCTGGGCTGGAGCTGCCCAATCCTCACTTTCCAGCCTTGATAGAGTCTTTCTGCCATTTTTCATTTTTTCTTTACAAGAGCCAGATAAGACCAAAATGGAGTATTGCTGCCATATCTGGGCTGGAGCTGCCCAATCCTCACTTTCCAGCCTTGATAGAGTCCTTCTGCCATGTTTCATCTTTACAAGAGTCAGATTAGACCAAAAATGAAGTCTTGCTGCCATATCTGGGCTGGAGCTGCCCAATCCTCACTTTCCAGCCTTGATAGAGTCCTTCTCCATTACTTCATTTTCTTTACAAGAGCCAGATAAGACCAAAATGGAGTATTGGTGCCATATCTGGGCTGGAGCTGCCCAATCCTCACTTTCCAGCATTGATAGAGTCCTTCTTTTAATGCTTCATCTTTACAAGAGTCAGATTAGACTCAAAATGGATCCATTGCTGCCATATCTGGGCTGGAGCTGCCCAATCCTCACTTTCCAGCCTTGATAGAGTCCTTCTGCCATGTTTCATCTTTTACAAGAGTCAGATTAGACCAAAAATGGAGTATTGCTGCCATATCTGGGCTGGAGCTGCTCAATCCTCACTTTCCAGCCTTGATAGAGTCCTTTTTGCCATGCTTTATCTTTACAAGAGCCAGATAAGACCAAAAATGGAGTATTGGTGCCATATCTGGGCTGGAGCTGCCCAATCCTCACTTTCCAGCCTTGATAGAGTCCTTCTGCCATTTCAGCTTTCTTTACAAGAGCCAGATAAGACCAAAATGGAGTATTGGTGCCATATCTGGGCTGGAGCTGCCCAATCCTCACTTTCCAGCCTTGATAGAGTCCTTCTGCATGTTTCATCTTTACAAAGAGTCAGATTAGACCAAAAAATGGAGTATTGATGCCATATCTGGGATGGGGCTGCCCAGTGCCCACTTTCCAGCCTTGATAGAGTCCTTCTGCCATGCTTCGTCTTTACAAGTCAGATTAGACCAAAAATGGAGTATTGCTGCCATATCTGGTCTGGAGCTGCCCAATCCTCACTTTCCAGTCTTGATAAAGTCCGTTTTCCATGCTTCATCTTTACAAGAGCCAGATAAGACCAAAAATGGAGTATTGGTGCCATATCTGGGCTGGAGCTGCCTTTCCAATCCTCACTTTCCAACATTGATAGAATCCTTCTGCCATTCTTCATCTTTACAAGAGTCAGATTAGACTCAAAATGGAGTATTGCTGCCATATCTGGGCTGGAGCTGACCAATCCTCACTTTCCAGCCTTGATAGAGTCCTTCTGCCATGTTTCATCTTTTACAAGAGTCAGATTAGACCAAAAATGGAGTATTGGTGCCATATCTGGGCTGGAGCTGCCCAATCCTCACTTTCCAGCCTTGATAGAGTCCTTCTGCCATGTTTCATCTTTACAAGAGTCAGATTAGACCAAAAATGGAGTATTTGAAAATATATCTGGGCTGGAGCTGCCCAATCCTCACTTTCCAGCATTGATAGAAAGTACAAAATCTGCCATGCTTCATCTTTACAAGAGTCAGATTAGACTCAAAATGGAGTATTGCTGCCATATCTGGGCTGGAGCTGACCAATCCTCACTTTCAAGCCTTGATAGTGTCCTTCTGCCATGCTTCATCTTTACAAGAGTCAGATTAGACTCAAAAATGGAGTTTGCTGCCATATCTGGGCTGGAGCTGACCAATCCTCACTTTCAAGCCTTTTATAGTGTCCTTCTGCCATGCTTCATCTTTACAAGAGTCAGATTAGACCCAAAATAGAGTATTGCTGCCATATCTGGGCTGGAGCTGACCAATCCTCACTTTCAAGCCTTGATAGTGTCCTTCTGCCATGCTTCATCTTTACAAGAGTCAGATTAGACTCAAAATGGAGTATTGCTGCCATATCTGGACTGGTGCTGTCCTGTCCTTACAATCCAACCATGACATAGTTCAAAGTGCTTGGCCTTGTGGGTGATGAATTATTCTTCCCTCTTATCCCACAGGCAAAATGTTGTTATCTTTTTGCTACCTATTGCTATAATTATGGCAGATTTTCAGACAAGTTACATTCCTTAGTTCCACCAGTTCAGACCTTCACATCTATGGCCCACCATGCCATGCACATGGTGGCAAATCCTACTCATTTCTTTTATGTACCTTTGATGAAGAGTAAGTTCCACTCAGATAGTTTCTTCACTAGATTATTTCACTTTGTGGAATAAACTCCTGAGAGGATGCTTTTTCTCTAACAACTACAATCTTGGTCTCTTCAAGTCCAGGGTCAACTGATATCTATCCTATATGTCCTCATATTGTGCACTTCTTAATCCCTAATCCATTAGAACACTCTTGCTCAGTAACCCTCTACCTTGAGTGGCCCTTGAAACTTCTATTGGAGGAACTGACAGTATTAAAAAGTATATTGAGAAAAGTTTTGCCTCCTCTCCCCTCCCAATTATTAGTTACCTAAGTGTACTTATAACAAAAAAATAATAAAAATAATGTAATTACTTAAATGGGATAAATTTTTACTTATATATATATATATATATATATATATATATATTGTGTAGTTAACTGCTACTAACAAGCAGAAATTTTTTTTCTCTTGATGATGGCCATGTTGGCCAAAACTAGTCGAGAAATCAAACTGAAATAATAAAAATGAAAAAATATTAATATACAACCTAGTGTGTCTGAAGATTTAAATTTTTGAATATTTTTTATTGTTCAATATATATATATATATATATATATATATATATATATATATATATATATATATATATATATATATATAATATAATGACTATAACTATATACTTGGGTGAAAAAACCTGATAACACAATTTGCAGA